ACAAACTTACTCATACTCAGGCATACTCATTTTCAGCACCCCATACGGGGAGCCGCCAGGGGTGGTTGCACGGGCTCGTTCGCGGCCATTGTGTGGGGATGTCTCAGGCGGTTTGCTTGTTTCTGGGCTCAACATCCTTCGCTTGGAGAGCAGATTGTGAGGATGTCTCAGGCGGGGCGCTGGTTTCAGCACCCCTAAAGGGGAGCCGCCAGGGGTGGTTGCACGGGCTCGTTCGCGGCCATTTTGTGGGGATGTCTCAGGCGGTTTGCTTGTTTCTGGGCTCAACATCCTTCGCTTGGAGAGCAAATTGTGAGGATGTCTCAGGCGGGGCGCTGGTTTCAGCACCCCTAAGGGGAGCCGCCAGGGGTGGTTGCACGGGCTCGTTCGCGGCCATTTTGTGGGGATGTCTTAGGCGGTTTGCTTGTTTCTGGGCTCAACATCCTTCGCTTGGAGAGCAGATTGTGAGGATGTCTCAGGCGGGGCGCTGGTTTCAGCACCCCTAAGGGGGGCCGCCAGGGGTGGTTGCACGGGCTCGTTCGCGGCCATTTTGTGGGGATGTCTCAGGCGGTTTGCTTGTTTCTGGGCTCAACATCCTTCGCTTGGAGAGCAGATTGTGAGGATGTCTCAGGCGGGGCGCAGGTTTCAGCACCCCTAAGGGGAGCCGCCAGGGGTGGTTGCACGGGCTCGTTCGCGGCCATTTTGTGGGGATGTCTCAGCGGTTTGCTTGTTTCTGGGCTCAACATCCTTCGCTTGGAGAGCAGATTGTGACGATGTCTCAAGCGGGGCGCTGGTTGCAGCACCCCTATGGGGAGCCGCCAGGGGTGGTTGCACGGGCACGTTCGCGGCCATATTGCGGGGATGTCTCAGGCGGTTCGCTGTTTCTGGGCTCAACAGGGAGGGAAATGACAGGAACGAGGATGAGGAGGAGGAACAGGAGGAGGAGGAGGAGGAGGCGGGGGATCGTGAGGAAGGGCATGGGGGTGCGGAGGGGGAGGGGGAGCAGGAGGATGAGGAGGAGGAGCAGGAGCAGGAGAAGGGAGGGGGCGGAGGAACAGGAGGAGGAGGAGGAGGAGGGCGCTTTGCTCGAAGGTCCTTGACGCGAGCAGAACGTTTGTTCCGAAGTCCAGGACATATATATATATATATATATACGTATGTATTCATAGGGGGTGACTGCGAGGGGGGGGGGGCGGTGGTTGTGTGCGGGGATCGTTGGAAATGCTCACCGTGGCACTATCCTCCAACATGACATGCACTTATGGCCTTGTGTGGCTAAACGCTCGTCTTACATATCCCACTGCCAACTATCCTACAACATATGCACATGTGGGAAGCTCCAAAGCTACCACGGGCTGAAAAGGGGAAGGCCTGGCAGCTGAGGAGGGGGGATGAAGAGGAAGAGGCTCGCATTCAACCATACTCAAAGCTCACTCTGACTCATACGCAATCACTCGCATTAGGGGTCACTCGTCTTCGTCGGCCCTGTCGCCCACGTGGACGCGCTATTGTAGTCGACCGCTCATGAACAGACGCTCACCACGGCATGACATAAAACATGAGATGCACATATGGGGAGCTCCACGCAGTGAGTAATTCGGCGTTGTGTCGACATGTGTCGCTATGTGTCGCTCCCCAGCACCCCAGCGTACCGCCCCCTCTGCCCCGACGACTTTATTATTTCGGCGTCGTCGTCGCCCCCCCCCCCTCTCCCTCTCCTCAGCAGCCCAGCGCGCCGCCCTCTCCGCCCCGACCATTTTATTTCGGCGTCGTCGTCGCCCCCCCCCCCCCGGTCCTTTTCCCCAGCAGCCCAGCGCACCGCCCTCTCCGCCCCGACCACTTTATTTCGGCGTCGTCGTCGCCCTATTTCGGCGTTGTGTCGACATGTGTCGCTTTCCCCAGCAGCCCAGCGCACCGCCCCTCTCCGCCCCGACCACTTCATTTCGGCGTCGTCGTCGCCCTATTTCGGCGTTGTGTCGACATGTGTCGCTATGTGTCGCTCCCCAGCGCCCCAGCGCACCGCCCCCTCCGCCCCGACGACTTTATTCGGCGTCGTCGTCGCCCCCCCCTCTCCCTCTCCTCAGCAGCCCAGCGCCTGCCCCCTCCGCCCCGACACTTTATTTCGGCGTCGTCGTCGCCCCCCCCCTGTCCTTTCAGCAGCCCCAGCGCGCCGCCCTCTCCGCCCCGACACTTATTTCGGCTCGTCGTCGCCCCCCCCTCCCCTCTCCCGAGCAGCCCAGCGCGCTGCCCCCTCCGCCCCGACCACTTTATTTCGGCGTCGTCGTCGCCCCCCCTGGTCCTATTCCCCAGCAGCCCAGCCCAGCGCACCGCCCCCTCCGCCCCGACCATGTTATTCTCTTGCACAGGGTGTCTAGAGCTCCGACCATTTTATTTCGCGTCGCTACCCCCCCCCGTGTCCTCAGCGCCAGAGTGGGGCCCCCACGCCGTGGCTCTCTGCCCCAAGCCACCCCGCGTCCCCAGCGCCCCAGCGGGGGCCCCGCCCACTGCCCCCTCCGCCACGAACGCTTTATCCCGCGTCGCCCCCCCCGCCCCCCCGCGTCCCCAGCGCCAGTGTGAGGCCCACGCGCCGTGGCTTTCTGCCCCGAGCCCACCGCGTCCCCAGCGCCCCAGCGGGGGCCCCGCCCACTGCCCCCTCCGCCACGAACGGTTTCTCCCGCGTCGCAGCTCCCCCCCCTCCCCCGCGTCTCCAGCGCCAGTGTGGGACCCCTGCGCCGTGGCTCTCTGCCCCAAGCCCCACTGCGTCCCCAGCGCCCCAGCGGGGCCCCCGCCCACTGCCCCCTCCGACACGAACGCTGTATTACACGTCGCACCCCCCCCCTCCGCGTCCCCAGCGCCAGAGTGGGACCCCCGCGCCGTGGTTCTCTGCCCCGAGCCCCCCCGCGTCCCCAGCGCCCCAGCGGGGGCCCCGCCCACTGCCCCTTCCGCCACTAACGCTTCATCCCGCGTCGCGCCGCACACCACCTCCCCCACCTCCCTCCCCGCGTCCCCAGCGCCCCAGTGGGGACTCCGCCCCGTGCCCCCTCCGCCCCGACAATTTTATTCCGCGTCGCGACGCACGCCACCTCCCCCCCTTCCCCCCCTTTCCCCAGCGCCCCAGTTGGACCCCCGCCCCGTGGCCCTCTGCCCCAAGCCCCGCCCAGTGCCCCCTCCGCCCCGACAGTTTATCCCGCGTTGCGGCGCACACCACCCCCCCGCCTCTCCGCGCCCCCAGCGCCCCAGTGGGACCTCCGCCCCGTGCTCCCTCCGCTCCGAGCACTTTATTCCGCGTCGCGACGCACGCCGCCTCCCCCACCATCCCCACCTGGGACTCGGGCCCCGTTGCTGGGCCCAGAGGGCGATGCCTTGCCCCCTCTTCCCCCCTCCTCCTCCACCTCCTCCTCCTCCTCCTCCTCCTCCTCCTCCTCCTCTTCCTCCTCCTCCTCCTCCTCCTCCTCCTCCTCCTCCTCCTCCCCCTTCCTTTTTGTGCAAGGGCTATGGCACACGTGCCACTTGTTGGGGGTACAAGCCCAAGGTGGCCCGCCCCCCGCTGGCACAGCTCCACTCTCGTCACATTGTATCAGGCTCCGCACGCCGCACGGGGCACCTCCAGTCCACGCTGCGCCAGCGTGTCAAACAATGGGCGGTCTTTCATCACGGCACAGATAGATAGATAGATAGATAGATAGATAGATAGATAGATAGATAGATAGATACATATATACATATATGTGTATGTATATTCCTCTTCCTATTCTTTTATAAGCCCGGGCGGGGGGAAAACCCATCACCCCCCCCCCTCCAAAACCGGACTCCCGGGATCTGGGGCTTTGGGACCCTCCAGACGGGCCTCGAAGCGGCCACCGGGCCTCACATGGCGTTTTGCCAAGCCTTCCCAGCACACCTAGGGCGATCAGGGGGGTCATCGGAGACGTCCCAGAGACCCCCAAGACAGCACAAGAGCGCTCCAAGAGTGACCGACGTGACCTCAAGATGGCCCAAGAGGCCTCCAGGATTGCCCCAAAGAGGCCTCCAAGAGCACTCCCAAGAGGGCCCCCCGAGGCAAAAATCATTGATTTTCTTTAGGTTTTTGGTGATTTTTAGGGTTCTCCTCTTTTCGGCTTCCCGACGCTCCAAGACGGCGGTCTTCTGGGCGTCCGAAGCCGCCTGGGAGACTCCAAAGTCGTCCCACAACCATCCGAAGATGCTTCCAGGCAGTCCAAGAGAGCCCCAAAACGGCACAACACGGGTCCAAGATGGCCCTCAGAGAGCGAGCCCCATGGCATGGCGGCACAAGATGGCCCCAAGACACCCTCCGAAGAATTCCAAATCGTGATTCAGTCGGTCAGGGAGACAGCGATTGGAGGCAGGGTGGCCCGAGGAAGCCCCCAGAGGCCCCCAGAATACGCCCAGGAGGCCTCCAGAAGGCTTTAAGAAAGCCTGAAACAACTTTTGTGAGGCTCCCAGAGGCTCTCCAAGGAGGAGCCTCCGCAAAAAAGAGCTGAGGAGGATTGGGAGACTGCGCAGGGCATGGCGGAAATAAGAAAAAAGAAGCATGGAGGAAGGAAAACGAATAACATTATTATAGCGGCGATGCCAGAAAAGGCAACCAGGAGTTATCGCTAAAGTGTCGGCTTGACCTTCCTGCTATTCCGCCTGCATACCAAACTTCAAGGACCAAGGTGCATGGCGCGAAGCGCCACTGCAGTCTTGTATATATATATATACACATATGTATATATATATATATATATATATATGCACACCCACACTGTTTGGTTTGCTTCCTCTCTCTCTCTCTCTCTCCCTCTCTAGTCGCTCAGTCTCTCAGTCTCTCCCACAAAACGTCCTCCTTCTCCTCCTCCCCTTCCCCATCCTCCTGGTGCTCCCAGTCTTCCGCTGCTCCTTCCGGTCTTCCTCGGTCAGCCCTTCCGCGGACCCGCCGCAATCTCGAAGACAGCATGCCGGCCGGCGGGGCGGGATGGCGCCAGCCTGCCCAGGGCATC